GCTGTCAGTGGAGGGCAAGAGAGGATGCCAATCCCATCTACTCTAGAGCTATAAAATAGATGAAAAATTTCTATATAGAAATACATTCAGCAGAAATTGCATTTGAGGACAGGGACTTCTTTAGAATTGGGGGGTGGCTGATTTATCTTACAGTAATGAGGTTCTACTGATCTACTCGTGCTGTAGCCAGGAAGGAGCTAGTCTCTCCTGACCAGTCACCTCTCCTTCCCTACCTTCAAATGCTCTCCATTTCTTTTGCTGTTAAGTAGGAAATCAAGGTGCTGGAATCCCCTAGAGTTATGGGCATAAAGGTTGTGGGCGTATGAATGGGTCAGGGCTTTGCTCTTCATGGAATCCTAACCCTGTCCCCTCCTGGTTTTGGAGAAATCAGCCCCAGCGGTTGATTGACTCCCTTTTTCAAGCCCACAAGCCCCAAGACCTTCATACCCATAGCTCTGGGGGATTCTAGTACTTAACTCCTTTTGTCTCTACCCTTAAAACTCACAGGTTTCCAGGATAGTCTACCCCAGATCTGGAGAATTCTCTTTTGTTCTGAAACACCAGCGCTCCCCCTACCCCATCTATTTACAACTACTTCTGACATTTACGATGTGCTTACTTGGAGTGAGATGCTTTTCTAGAAGACCATTAAATGTCTTCATTTTAATTTGCCTAACAACCTTAGAAGGTATAACTCCCATTTTCACATCTGAGGAAATTGTGGCATATGGGGTTTGACCAAGAGCCTGCAGCTAGTGAGTGGAAGAATCTGAATGAGAACCTAAATTGTTGATGACTAAGCCCTGGAAGGTGGGTGCTGAGTTCTCACTTTGCCAATGCCTGTTTCATCTTGGGTCTGTTTCTTAAATGTATTTCCTTCACCTGAAAAAAAAATCAGTGTAGACTATTGCAGTCCAGAGTATCCTTCCATCTAAAAAAACTCCTGTGGTCCTACTCAAAAATGGTTTTGAAACTGTAGAGCGCGCAGAACGGCAGCAGTGCCCCGGGAAATGTAGCTCCATGTGGGGAGATAACCAGTGACCGCTCTTGTGAATGGCTGGTTCTCAGGCTCTCTACAGTTTGCTGAAGGGGCTTGCAAATATCTCAGAAGATCCTAGTGTTGAAAAAAATCATACAGAATTTAAAAGAGGTTGCAGACAGGAGGAAGGCAACCTTTGTCCAAATTTTAAATAAAACAAGAGATTCTGGAAGCCAGATGAATGATTTGTGAGCTTTTATAAAACTATACAGTATTAGTAGGTCCAGTATGAATTCACTAAACAACAATGTAAAACTGACTTTGTTTCCTTTTGTGAAAGAGTTCACATATTAAGGTACACTGTTGACATATCTCGTCTTGATTTTACTAAAGTGTTTGACCAAGAATTCATAGAAGACAGTTACGGGTTGATTAGATCAACACAGGCTTCCTTTTTTATCCCCGGCACCCCCCCCCCCATATTCTCACCCTTACTCCATACCTATTGGAAGGGAATTATTAAGAAAAGGGCCTAGGAAACCATACGTTAAAAAAGCTTCTCCAGGTCTCCTGCAGCTGTTCCATAGACTGGTGTTTGAGAAAAACTATCAGAAGTTTTCAAACTTTTTGTGGGGGGCAAGAAATCCTTTCATCAAATGAAATGAACCTCTACCATATAAAACAGACTGTGACATTTTACTAATACTGTAAATGTTTTCGGGCTTTACATTTACAATGTTTACTGGAGAGTCAGTAAGAACAATGACGCTATTAAGATATAACGAAAAAAATCTAAATCAGATGTTGATAACAACGGTCTCATAGCTGTAGTCACATTATCAGCTGTGTTTAATAAACTTGAATACTTTGCTTTAAATGCATAATACTTAAAAAATCTATTCTCATAGATAATTACTTGCAAATTAAGAGTGTTTCTGTTTCTGTTTTGTTTTTAAATAACTTGCCTTGGGATCCCAGGATGTTTTTCAGTTCAGCCCATTAAGGTAGAGGAATACTTGTTTCAAAACCATAACCCTGTAACTAAACTTACGGAAACAATTGCTCACATTCCTTATCATAAATCTAAAGTCATACAGGAAACATCTAATTCTTAGAATAAATATTTGCCTTCCCTCAAGTAGGGTATTATCAGAAGGACTTTCTACTGTGATGAAAGCAAGGCCATAGCGACACCCCCAGCGCCTCGCCCCCGTCTGATGACAACCCACACTGGGCAGGGTTTGTATTCATGTGCTTGCTTGAATGGCCCCTTGAGAGCAGAGCCTGCACAGCGGTGTTTTTCCTGTGACCGGGCTGGAGGTTCAACTTCCCTTTCCAGTGTCACACTTACAAGAGGTCCATGTGTGCACCTGGCCGGGGAGCCTAAAACAGGGACTGCCTGGATCTCCTAGGCAGGATCATGGGTGCACAACCCTTTGTATCCTCAGTGGGTGAAAAGTTTGCCTATAAACCATTTCAGTGTCATTTTAAAAAAACTACAGCTTTTAAAATGTCTAACATGTATTTGAACATTAGAAACAGATGGTGGTGTATCCTTGTGGCACTTCCATAGGAGTCTTTTCAAAATCATTAGTCTGATATTGACTGGATGCTGGTTTATGTTAGGAGAAACGTTTGGTTCCCTGAGGAATAGAGAGAGAGAGTTGGGGACAACTAGCTTGTGCAGAGGAGAAAAATACTACAATTCAGAAAGTGAGTTTGTGTGCACAAAGAAAGAACGAAGTCACTTGGAGTACAAATGGGAGCGGTGTGACCTTCTTTTGGCCAGGACAACAGGGAAGGCTTCCTGAAAGAGAAGACATTTGGGGAGGTCCTTGAGGATGCATAAGGCTTGGGCATGAGAATATTGGGGAGAAGCGATCATGTTCTAGGGCACTTCATCTTTTGGGAGAGTACAATTTTAGAGGAAAACAATGCAGACGTCACTACCCTCGAACAGATTACCTTCATTAATATATTGACTCTATATACATTAAAAACATAATTCATTCTTAATAAACTCAAAAAAGGATCATTTTCATTTATTTAAATATGCTTGGGGTTTCTTTTAAATCATTACTGTCAGACAGTGATTTACTTGTTCCTTAGACCTTTCCAGTGATACTTTGCCCAACTTGTCTGCCACTTTAAGACCCACCTGCAGCATAAATTTGCCCTAAAGCTGAGACCTGCAAGAATTACAGCCACTCATTCATTCATTTGTTCACCCATGCCGGTATATTGAGCATCTATTTATGCCCAAGATCCTGGAGAGTTGTAGGCACCCAGCAGTGAACAAGTCCAAACTGGACAGGTGAATTAGATGCCTGGAAACCGCCTGAAGGTCTTATCATTAAACTGTATGTAAAAAGATAACAGTGCAACTTTTTCTACAAACTGATAACAGCATAGTGTACACCTCCTAGAGCTTTTCCATTTTAACAGGGATCAAAGCTTTGCCTCAAACTGCTTCTAATCAGGCAGTATGTGAGGGGAACTGTGGTTTTAGCTTTGGGACTTTTCCAGCTTATGTGGTTTTTTAAGCAGCAGGATTGGTACTGTCCCATCTGTACTTTAAGGTGGGGACTAGCTCTGATAATACTCTTCTCAGGAAAGTAGCTTAAAGAAAATCCTACTGCACAGGGAAAATCAATTCAAAAATCAATACGACAGAAAAGAGTTCTTGTTACAGTTTTGCCTTTTTGAGGGGCCAGAGAGCTGAGCGCAGAGAGAAGGAATACAGCTTAGTGCAGGTGCACAGACAGCGCGCCCTGCGCTTGGTCCTTGGGCAAGTCATTTACCCTCTCCATGCAGCTGTAAATAAGGATGAAGGTGATAATAGTACCCACCTCAAAGGATTGTTGAGGGTCAGATAAGTTAATATATTCAGAACATTTAAAATTGTTCCTGCCGCAGAGGAAGCATTGAAGTTGGCCATTATTGCCTGTACCTATGTGTGTTTGCTGTTTCTTGGTTTTCTGAGACTATATAGGAGATAAAAAGCAAGAGTGGACAAGAAGATAGTTCAAGTGAGGATGGCTAATTCCTTCTTTCCCTTCCTTACGCTTCCCACCCTTCCACCCCTACAGACCCGAGAGTTGTTTGTCTTGTGAGGCGGCAACATCATCTTTGAATGCATGACCTTGAAAATTTCTGATTAAGTCGTTCTGGGCAAAGCTCTAATGGTTGGAAAATGAATCAGGCCTCCCACACATACCTGCTCAGCCAAGAATTTGTTTGCCCCAGGAACTGTGGGTGGGCGGGAATGGAAGCGAGCACACACCCAGGCTTATGTGAACTCTCTGTTCTGGCTGGAGAGCGCGCTGTCACCCTTCTCCCTCCGCTCACCAGCGCTCTCCGGTCTTTTCATTCTCAATTCCAGAGACACGGATCTTTTTTACTTTTTAAAACATGCTTTTTCTCCCTCCTTTCCCCAACTCCAGGGTAACTTCTACCCACCCCTCCCGGTGTGTTTGTTCTCTAACGTTTGGTTGTTTTATTTGTCCCTTGATGCTACACTTGGGCAAATTTCTCCCAGTCCCAGGAAGGCAGCATGCAGCGTGAGATGATGAGCTGTGGGGCTCCCTGCATGGCTCCTGAGTTTTAGGGTCTCTGGCAAGGTCCTCTGGAAATGTCCTGGAATTTCCTGTTGGTCCTGGTAACCGGGGGTAGAGGCCCCCTCTCCTGCCTTTGCACTGGGGCGGATCACAGGTGCTGTCTGCTGTCTGCATTCTGGGGAGGCTGGTGAGGGGGTTCAGCACAGCACTGCGGAGGGGCTTGTTCTCCTGTTCCTGTGAAATGTGCCACCTCAGGACACGTGGTCTGCGTGACCTTCAGTTACTGGTTCCCGGCTTGTTTCATGTTTTTCTTTTTAGCCTATTTTACATTTGATCCCATTGTCCTGGTATAGTCTTGTCATTAGAGCAGGTGTGTTCTTTTCTGAGTGTGACAGCACGCGAGTACTGGGTCCTCTTCTGTGGGAGGCTCTGGGATGGGGGTGGAAAGAGGCCTTCTCAGGCCCTGGGAAATCTTCTCTATGAGAGCTAAGCTTAGAAAGTGACTTAAGCTCTCTGAGCCTGTGTACCCACGCCTCCTCTCCTTTTAATTAAGTCTGCCCAGGGGTTGCTCTGGAGGTGAACGTGAGACTGCGTGGGACGTAGGGGACGTAGCCAGCTCTCTGCCACCACTCCTCTCCCTCTGCTTCCTCCTCGGATTGTGGAGCCCAGGCTTGTTGTAAAGACAGGAGGCACTGGGCAAATTCTTCCATTTCTAGCAAGCTGACTGGTATTTGGGGGCTTTTGCCGTCAGTCAGGATCTAGGTGGGTCTCCCCAAAAGAAGCACCCTTCCCCCTCGTGGCTGCTGGCTGAGGGATGTGGGGCAGCACAAACCCACTATGAGTTTTGCCACTTTATTTCTCCTCCAGCTTGCTCAAATGTAAGGAAGAATGCGCAAAATTAAAAATAAAAAGGATTCTGTTTTGAAAATTATACCCTATCTCCAAACAGCCTCAAATCAAGAGTAACCACCAGACATCCTGTTCCTCAGCGTGTTTGCTGGTCGAGCGTTGCTGTGCTCAGGGCTCTGCACGGGCATTTTTCACCTTGCAGCAGGCCCGTGTCCTCTGTCACTCAGCCCAGGACACCTCTTACTGCCGCTGTAAAGTTGTCGGACAAAAAGAAATCAGTGTGATCAAAGCTGCATCTGGCCAGTTTGCTGCCCCATCCTGCCCTTTTCCACTTTACAAATCTAGCAAATTTTTGGTAAAAAGATATGTTAATATAAGTTTATCTGATTGTATGACTGGATGTTAGGCCAGAAGACTTCTGCGAGCCCCCTGAAACATGTATCTCAAAACTATTTTTTTAAGTCTCACGGAGTGCAGTTTAAAGGTCTTCATTTACTCCTGGCCTCTGCCATTCTCACCGTGGAGAAGGTCCACTGTGCTTCCCTGTGTAGCAAGGAAACGGGCAGCAGCTCGTATGCAAATGCCTCGCCACCCACCGCAAGGGGGCCGGCCGGTGTCAGCCTGGTACACACCACCGGGACTGGCCAGGTTGTCGCCTGCAGAGCCCACACCCGTTCTGTTGCCACCCGGGGCAGCAGCACAGGAAAGAAAGTGGGACTAAAGGAAGCGGGCTGTCAGGGGTGGGGGGCAAGCGTGGGAATGTGTTCACAGTCATACGTGAGCGGAGAGGGGAGAGGGGAGGGCGTCAGGGCTGACGCGGAGCCAGGCCCTGCAGGACAGATTGCTGGTCTCAGGTGTGGGCTCACCTGTCGTCGTTTGTTCTTTGGGAGAGGCGCTGGGGTGCTTTATGGAGATCCTCCCAAATAGTGATTGATTACTGGCAATGGCTCTGTAGTTCCCAGATGTACTCACCTGTCCGTCACCCACCCTGGGACATCCCAGTCAGAACGGCTTTCGTGTAGTGACCAGAGCGCATATACTTGTCATGTTTTGAGAATTGCCAGTGGTGGGGTAAAAAGCAGGTTAGCTTGGGTATAGATTCTTAGGAAAATGAGAATTAATGGTAAAGGCTTGCATGAAATAAGAGAAGACTGAGGACACAGGTCTCATTCTGGAATGCGGAGTTTTACCTTAAAGGCTCACGGAGTATTGTTGCGGTGTCTGGCCCGTGGCGGGCCCTGTGCTTGCTGCTGTCACTGAAGCGATACACTTATTCCAGACTTGAGGGGGATGCCAACGGGCACATTTTCTGCAGGCTTCCCAGTAACCATGAAAGATTGTTCTTTATATGCAAACTTTTGGCAAAATTATTTGTATTACTAAATAGCATATGTATATATATGTATGTACATAAATGAAAGCAAAATATTGGGACCATTTCTAAACAGCTATTAACAATAATTAGATAAAAATTACACATAAAATGATAAACCCTAATGAATGCCACAGAAATTCGTGCCTTTCTACCTAGAACAGGGTTCATTCAAACTAAGTTCCCTTCCAGTGTCAGAATTCCTTGTACAACGTACATAAGAGGTAATGATTTAGGCATCACCCTCCTCTCCTCTTCCTTCCTTCACTTTTCAGCTGATGTGTGCTCTGTCCAGTTCACCAAGGTAGCACTGTGAAAACGCAGATAAGTACCATAGTCCTGCCCTCAGAGGCCCCCAGTCTAAGAACATGTACAGCAGAGTGAGGTGGTGCAGGGAAGAGGTGTGTGAAGTCACCTGGATGAGAGCAGGCTCTCAGCCTGTTCGGACAGACAGCGCAGAATTCACAGAGGAGGTTATGTGGAAGCTGAGACATCAGGTCCGAAGGGGTGCCTAGAAATGAAAACACATCCCCGGCACGGCCCTTGTGCTGCGTGAGAGTCGTGAAGGCCTGTCTGGGGAATGGCATGCAGGTGGGCGTAGCTGGATCTGATGCTGGGGAGGAGCAGGGTGGAGGATGAGGCTGTATCTCATAGTGAGGGGAGTTCACTACTTTGGAAAAAAAAAGAGTTCTGTGACTGAGAAGTGTATTTTGTTACAGAGTGTTTCCTTGTATTGTGCCAAGTCTGTCTCCTTTTCTGTTTCACCCTTGGGCTTCAGGTTGCAGGAGCAGCACAGAGTGAGCCCCTCTGCTCTTGCCACCTGCCTTTATAGGTAAGTGGTTTTACTTTGAATCTTGCCCCAAGCTGTGTATATATTTGTTTACCCTTCTTAATAGGTTTTGGTTAGTAGTTTATTTCCTCACTACAACCCAGAGAGCGTTCCAGTTGGCCCTTTCAGAGTCTACAGACAGTTGATTGTGATCTCCAAGATTGATCTCAGGTCTCCCAAGGAGCTGTACCCTCATGTCTGTTGGCCTTCTTTCTGCCAAGTTCCTCCCTCCGTGGTTTTACAGGATCCCAGCAGGCGGGGCAGTTGGGGGTGGTAGGCCGGCGTGTCCTCTGCTGCTTTTCCATCACACCGTCTCCTTCTGGTCATCTTAGGGCTTTAGAGAAGCAGAAGGTAGGCCATTTTCACACACGTGCTGGGGATCCTTGTCCTTCTGGAACAGTAGTTTTTTCTTTTTTTTTTTTTTACAATCTTATCACTATTGTCTCATACTTTAGAAGCAAAATAAAAAGAAATACATACATGTGAGATGTTAATAAAATGGGTTAGGACTGAACTAAAATAGCTCAGAAGGATTGAGAGAGGCATGTTACAGCTCAGGTCACATTTTCACATGAATTATCTGTAATTAGAAAATATCAGTTATGTTCTGAATGAGGGATCTGGCCATGTGTGTAGTGTGAGACCCCTGTCTGAAAGCACAGGGACTCAATGGGTCCTAGAGAGCAATTCTAGGCTAACTGTCGGTTGAAGCCAGTAATGTCGGTACCTTTAAGCAGTCATCAGTCGTCCACTCTTACCCCTGGATAAAAATTCTGCGCTTTCCTAGCCACTGCCATGTTTGTCTATGGATCAGCCTCTTTACGAGAAAAGGATGGGATGGAAAAGGCTCAGGAATTTTGGTTCTCCCACACCCTCGCCTAATGCTGAAGCCAGGAGCTTACCTAGAGCTGTGGTCCTTTGTGGGGACCATTCTTCCACGTGGGGAGAACATAAGTGAAGGAAAGGGAGAGTAAAAAGAGAACCTTACGTGGTTCAGGTGTAAGTGTCAGATCTAATGAGTTAGCTGAGGATGCCCCGGGAAAGACTGTTTATTGCTTGGATTTAATTATCCTACACCATGGAAGGCACTTTCTTATTTTCCACATGAGTAAAACGACTAGTCTTAAATGCACTTGTTTCGGTCTGTAGCAGTGGTGCTTACAAAAGGGCTGGTGGGGAGAGGGGTAGGAGGGGGGTGACGAATGTTCAACCACCATTGTACTCAAATTGTGGTCCACAGACCAGCAGCATCAGCATCACCAGAGAGCCTACTAGAAATGCAGAATCTCAGGCCCCCACCCAGAGCGTCTGGATCAGAATCTGCATTTTAACAACCCCCCCTGGCAATCCCTGTGCACATTGCAGTTCGAAAAGGATGCTCTGGGTACTTACTGGGTGATGACAGTACCGGATTCACCACAAGCGATTTGCCTCTCAGCACGCTTTAAGAAAAGCTGAACGAATGAGGTGTATCAGCCAGAAGTATTAAATGGTGAGAATCACAATTTAATTTTCTTTGTCACCGTTGGCTAAACAGCTACGTTCTGTTCGGGGAGGACAGGGTTCTGTTTACCACACAGATGACGTGCCCCATGGCCTGATGACAGCAGGTGAGGAGCTGCTTCCCTGCCCCAGGGTGAACAGGTTTCCATGGTGACAGTTATGTGCTGTGATCTCCCCGTATCCTCCCCAGCCCCCGTTATCCAACAGAGCAGAGAATAAAAAGAATTAGTAGAATTTATCATGTCCATTTTTGACTTTACGTTATGTTATCATCATGGGTTTCTCAGGGGGAAAGTCTGAGCAGAGAAGCGTGGCTTCCTTAGTGCTGTGCGACCATTCTTTCTGGGCTAAACTCAAACTGGCACAGCTGACAGATGTCAGGGTTGGACCCTAGTGGCCTAAGCCTGGTTTTAAGAAGAATACTTGTGTTTGGTGTTTATCCCATTGTACATCAGCAGATGTTCCAGTGGGAAATCTCTGTGTTAAACAGTCATTAACTACCGTGGTCACATGTATTCAGTGATCTTTCTCCTTACTTAGAGAAGCCTTCTATTTTCAGAGTAAATGAGAAATGCTCTTGGATAGTGGTGACCAGTATCACAGGTACTTGAATGTTCAATTCTTTTACAATGTGATGCAGTGATTTTTTTTTGTCTGATCTTTTCCACCGTCTGTGATGATCATATATGACTTCTAAAAACCTACTAAGTTTTCTTTTGTAACATTAATAATGGAAACAAACAAACAAACAACCATTCAGTAATGAAAGGATTAAGACTGCTAAAATCAGCCATTAAGGGAGTTAAGAGTTAAAAGCCACGCTTTTCTAGGGCATTTCCTTAAAGTTCCATGAAGAGTTCATCAGCTTTTTAGACGCACTGCTGTGTGTTACTGCTACGCTCTAGTCCAAGCCCCTGTGATCCTTGTCTGGACTGTTTCAGGAGCGCAGTAAGTGGTCCTGCTGCTTCCTCCCTTGCTCTCTCTTCACTCTGTTCTCAGCGCAGCAGCCAGAGCATATCTGCCTCTGCCCCACACACCTTGGTTGTATTGCAGGGCGCTCAGATTAAAAGCCAAAGGCTTTCCGGTGCCCTAAGAAGCCCATTTTTTTTTTACCTCTCTGACCCCACATCCTGCTACCATCTCCCATGCATACCCCACATCAGACAGGCCACACTTCTGTCTCAGGGCCTTTGCACTTCCTGATCCTTGTGTCTGGAGCTGTCTTTCCCAAGGTGTCCGCATGACTTTCTTTCCAGATGTCTCTTAGGTCTCTGCTCATATATCAACTTCTCAGTAAAGCTTTCCTTGACCACCCTATTTAAAATTTAACACCCTTCCCCACGACATACTTTGTATTTTACAGGTGTGCCTCATTTTATTGTGCTTTGCTTTATTGTGCCGTACTTCTCTGTGCTTTGCAGATACTGTGTTTTTACGAATTGAAGGTGTGTGGCAATTCTGTGTTGTCAGATGATGGTTAGCATTTTTTAGCATTAAGTTGTTTTTAAATTAAAATACGTATTTTTTGACATAATGTTAAGGCACTGGAAGACTACAGTATAGTGTAAACATAACTTCTCTGTGCACTGGGAAGCCAAAAAATGCATGTGACTTGCTTTATTGTGCTGGTGGTCTGGACCCAAACCTGCAGTGGCTCGGAGATAGGCCTGTACTTAATGTATCTTCATTGTTTGCCTCCTCCTAGAACGTTACCTCCTTGAGAAGTAAAGGTTTTGTCTTGTTCATGTGTAGTCCACAGCGCCTGGACCATGCCTGGCTTATTCGAGGTGCACACTGTTTGTTGAACGCATGAGTGAAGTTGGCCCTCTCCAACCCTGTGACTAGATATGAGTTTAGAGTCAAGGGTATTGTGAGACATCTTCCTACCAATTTTATTCTCATTGTTATTACATAAGAGGACTGAAATGTTAGGAGAACATCTTTAAAATGTTAACCACAGCTGTGAGCCATTTAAAACGTTCTACGCAGTGAGTTAGGAGATGCCAGTTAGTTGTTGATTTGTAAGGCAAATGGGAGGATAACACAGTCAGTACACACCAGGTCTCCTGTGTGCCAAGCAGGCGTGCCCTGGGGACAGGAGGAGGTGCAGTGCACAGGGCTTCCTTCAGGCAGCTTCACCTTTGCTTGCTGTCGGCCCCTTGGTCATGACAGCATCCTGCAGCAAACTCAGAGCCTTCTGTGCCCCGCTCCGAAGACCACCACTTTGGGAATGTGTGCGCATGCGTGCGTGCGTGTTTGTTTTCCAGCGTTGTCTCATCAAGGGCTTCCTTTGGCCGCAATTTATGTTTTCCTTTTTGTTTATAGTGTCTCCTAGTAACCCAGTGCCGCAAGTCCTTTCTGCAGAGTTGCTGCGCAAATGTATCTTGAACTTTGTGCCATTTCTCTTTTAGTATCTTAAGATTTATTTTGGCCACAGAAGTCTAGGAAACAATAAAGTTACAGAAATGCCTATCTAATTATTGGCACCCCAGGGGTCAGAGGCCACATCAGGGAGGGCGGAGCCCATTCAGTGGAGCCATATGGTCTGCCTGGCAGAATCATCCCTGTTTTGGTGATGGATACAGGAGATTCTCTAATGGCCCAAAGTCATCATGCGTTCAATAAAGTATCTCTTTGAGTGTCCACTCTTGTGGAAGGTGCTACTAAAATGAGCACAGCGTTCACCCTTATGGAGCTTCTCACAGTCTAGTGAGAGAGATGACTATGAATTAAATAATCACAAAAATGTGTAGTTATACAACTGTGGTAAGTACTACAAAGGAGAAGATCAAGATGCTATGGGAGCTTAAAATAAAGGAATTTGTCCTAGTCTGGGGGTCACAAGACGTGTGAGTGAGGGTCTGCAGGTCCTAGACAGCTGCGTGTGCTTTGAGGGGAAGGGCAGAGCTTGTGCATTAACTTGCAGGTGAAGGAAATGAGGTGTGTAAAATCTGAGGCGTGAGGGATCTGCGCATTCAGAGAGTAAAAGGAGACCATTGAGGCCGAAGTGTGAATGTGACAGGGAGGGTGAACACGGAGGAGGCTGGAGGGGTGAGCAGGGCCAGGCAAGGCCCGAGAGTCCACACCCAGATACTTAATCAGAAGACCCAAGCAGAGCATTCAAGGAGTGGAAGTAGGTCTGGGCCATGACCTGTTTTCTATTTTCAAATGTTTACTCTGGACACTTGGTGGATCATGGACTGGAAGGGAGGAAGTGGAAGCTGGGAAAATAGCAGGAAGTGTTTTGTGTTTTGTCTAGGAGAAGGATGATAGCGGCTTGGACCAGGATGGTGGGAGTGGAGGAGACAGGAGAACATGTGTCTGGAGCGAGAATATTGGAGGCCATTGGCATCCGGTTTGTGATTGCTCTGACATGCTCACTCAGCAGTCTTCTGCTTATTTGCCTTGATCTTTAACCAGCCTTATATAAGGGATTTCAGGAAATTGGTCAAGCTAGATGGAGCAAGTGTCCAGGCTGTCTGACCATCATATTTTCCATTGGAAATGAATACATAGGCTTTGTGGTTTATGTATCAATCTCTTACGGTCTTTGTTGGATTGAATTAGTATTGATAAACAAGACAATTCATGGAACCTCAGTGACATAGACTTTTGGAGCCAGCAGAGCGAGGGACAGAACCTAGACAGTTGTGAATTCCTGGAGGTAAATGGCATCTGGTGGAGACTCTCTGAACAGCTACCTTTCCTAGGTAGCACCCTCTTTTTTTGATGAATCCTTTTCCATTACTATGTGTTTTTAAATTTTAAATAAATCTATAATAGCTATGTTCACCAATTGTTTCTATTTTTAGGATAGCAGTTGTTTTCACCCAGTGGGGAAAGGTGCTGCCACTGAGAAATGAGTTTCAGAGGGAATGTAATTTGAAAGGCATATTAAATGCGGATGGATTCCGACTCAAGGAGAATCTTAGTCTACATTGTTTACCTATGCATCTACCTTTTTATTATGCCATGTTGATTTCTTTTGAAGTCATAAAATACTTGTTTTTCAGATCTCCTATTTTCGATATGTATAGTAGTATTGTCTTAATAGTTCCATTCAGGAACTCAGTAAAAATTTAGGTAGCTGAGATAATTGACTAAAGTTTAATGAAACCCTTCTGGTACTCTCAAGTCTGGAAGATGTCAGACAATGATATAAAACATATGGGTGCATTTGTGGCTACTCACTAACAGTATTTTTCTCTTATTTTGCAGGAGAAAGTGGAAAAGACAGAGATACTTTTAATGGAACAGAATAAGCCACTGAACAGGTAACTGAAATTATTAGGGGTTGCGTACACATTAATTAAACGAGTTAATGTTTATGAAGTCCTTAGAATGTTACCTGACATGTAGTAAATACTACGTAAGTGTTTGCTATTACTAAGTTCCTTTAAATGTACCTGAGCCCAAAACAAACCAGTCATACAGCCAAAAACTACCCAACAAAAACAAACCCTTTTGCTCCTAAAGCAAGTGTGAACATCACTGGTAAGTTCTGACATGCTCTCTGTGTGACCTGTTGATAGTGGCCTGAGAAACTTAATTTCTTAATCTTTGAGCACCCTTAAGTATTTGGCTACCCATTCGTTTTTGGTTTTTAGCACTCATTCACGATGACATATATATAAGTGTCATATCAATTTCAATTTTGAAACAAAACAAGCTTCTTTAAAATTCTTGAAGATTTACTTCCTTTTCATTGGAGGAAATGGCTTAGTTTCCAGGTAGCCACTGCAATGACCTGTGGATAGTTAGTAAAGGTGGAGAGGGTGGGGCTAAGACCAGCACTCATGTTTCTGGTGATGCCAGTTATTACTCGGAATAAGAACTTCCAAACTATTGACTCTTCCTAGGCACTAACTTCACATCATAAAACTGTCGGTGTTACTAAGACCTACTGACACATTCAACGGACATTGATACGGGGTGTATTATGTGCCAAGTACTGTGCGGGGCCTTGAGATGGCAGGGCTGAACATGTCGCCTGATTCCTTGCCTTCATTGTTCTTAATGAGACTACAGAATGATAATTTAGTGAAGTACTGAACAAGCCAGGATCCATTCAGAACTTCTGGAAATGATAATTCATTCTTCTAAGATAGTTAAGAACTTAAGTTTTAAATGGTGTAGGTTTGCAGCTTGATTTGTTAGATGAGAGAGATATATTTGGTGCTGGTTTAAGTCTAGTACTGGAAAAACAAGAAGCTAAAGTCTATTGCTTATCCGTTTTGAACGCCTAATCGTAAAATACCATAGTGACTTCTGTGCAATGCTAGCAAAATTCTTGTTGATTTCGGAGGCAAGTTTATTTATAAGGTAATCATAATTATATACATCTAAGTCTACTCAGTATGTACAACAAATTTTGATGGTTGCAATGTGCAAAATGATTGTTTTAAACAAAGATAAACCAATATTCACCTGTCTTTGAGGAATATTTCTAATGTTTATAGGCAATAAATGAGACAGCATAGCCTAGTTTTGTGTTAAAAAGATCTCATTTGAGTGGTCATAGAAGTTTTCTAAATATTTTGTACTGAAGCCGAGCCAAAGTTCATTTGGTTCTTTGAGTATGTTCTAATTTTAGTAATGATTAATGA